TTAACTCAACTTTTTACATTTCTACAAACAGAATCCAAATTTTAAACTTTAAAATTGTAAAATATTTATCGTATTTTGAATTATATTTAGTTTATAATTTAACAGTTGCGAAAGCTTTAGCTGTAGAGCATGTAATTAACATACTTAATTGTAATTAAGTACGCTGATGGTTAATTACAAAGTAGTAAGCACGTACAATTTGTATGACGCCTTTGAAATATTGCTTATTGTATACAGTTTTTCTATAGTTTTAATTACTTTTAGTAGATTAATTTTTATGAAAATAATAAATTTTTTATTAAATTAAATTAAATTATTCTCACTTAAATCTCCAAACATTATTTATAAAATTTATTAAAATACTACCATCTCAATTTGATAGTAGCAATTAAATAATTTGATATTATTATTTTGAAATGTTTCTTTGATATCTGATACGAAAAACTATAAAGAAAATAACTTTTTATGTTGTAAGAATGGGACCATTTACAATTCTTAGTGCTTAATTTACATATGATAACCTATACTTAACTCGATGTCAATGCCACGTATGATTATAACTAATGAAAAAATTGATGTAATTATCTTAAAAAATGAAAGTAATATTTTAAATTATTAAAATCTGGATACTTTTACGTAATTCTGGAATATTTTTTTCTCAAAAAAGACTATTTTTTTTAGTAGAAAATAATGTCCTATATTCGTCTAGTTAATATCGGTGTCATTAGTTGAACATTCACCCTTCGCTTTACACATTAACATAATCTGCTGAATAAATTCACCGACTGAAAAATCTTCTGACCGAAAATAATATAAATTTCACGCTTTCAATGGTCAGAAAATATTTATAATATTGATCAATCGTCATAGACTTAAATGAATTCAAACTAATTTTAATAATATTTTCATTATTCCCTGTCGTGAATAAATTATAAATATTGCATTTAGAGTTTATTCAAATACTTTTCCTCTTTAAATAATTTATTTTCAAGATATAATTTATGTAATATGACGATATTAAAGATTCACAATATCAATTGGTGGATAAACAGTATTGTATTCAAATTAGCCGAGTAAAAAGGTTGATCGCCATCAGGAAAAATGTTGAATAGTTTCAGAAAATTGGTAGGAAAAAAACTTAATAAATAATTGAAACCAGTAGAATTCCTCGGGCTACAACAACTTACTCCAAAAATTACTTGTTTTGTCCAATGTTTCCTAATTAGATTACGAAATTATTTTCCAATTTTTGCTAAATTTATTTGAACGAAATCAATTAAAATTTATTCTAATTCAATTAATTTCACACAAACATTCTGTTGTATTTTATAAAATATGTCCTATAATAGTTTTATAAATTTAAACACGATTAATTAAGAATATTTATCCGTGTTTAATGTATAATATAAGCAAAATTTATATGCATATATCAACAAATAAAATCATTAAAAAATGCGTTAGTATGAGTATAAACAAATGTATAATATAGTCAAACCTCTGAACAATGGCCACTGACATAACATAAAAATAGACAGTGTTTGGAGATGGCCTTGATTACAGGTTTAACTGTAAGCTTGACTAAGCTTTAAAATATTGTATAAATCAACAATGAATAAATTAATTAAGAGATAAACAACTGAACATTTACCTCACCAAATTTGTCCGAATTTTTAGTTTTTTTCTTAGTTATTTTATTCCATGATGGTATGTACCAATACTATTTTTTATATAAATGTATTAATTTTAAAAATTTAAAATTTTTTTAAAAATCTTTAATTAAATCATCTATATATAAGAGTGAAGGAATAAGCATAGAAAAATGTCAGGCGTAACCAATCAGAATAGAAGTTTCAACTGTGGCACGTGATCTATATTCTGCCAATCATACAACTTCAACTCCGCCATAATTTTCTCTCACTTTGATGGTTTTTTTGAAGATTAATTGATGGTTTCAAGTATTTACAGTAGTTATATATAAATTGAATATTTTCTAATTACTTAGTTTATTGTTATTTTTAGACGAAAACCATTCTTATACAGGAAACGATAATAATGGCGCTGTATCTAATCTCGTTACAGCACGGTTCTATTTTACCTTTTAAAATTCACTTTCTTAATTTTTTAATTAAAATTTTTTTCCTAAATATCCTAAACAGCCAATCAGCGCATTAATTTAAAATAATTCTCTGTTTTATTAACAAGTGCTAATTCCTAAATCAGCATTTGTTAATAAAGCAAATGCTGATTTAGTACCGTACCGTGTATAAAACACAGCTTAAAATCGTCATGACACTTTTTTCGTCCCCCAAAGAAATGCAAATGGCGGCACCTAAAATCGATCAATCGTCACGAATTTTTCAACAAGCGAGGGAACCAAGCCCCCTATTGCCCTTATAAAAATAAAACTGTAACGCGTATTTATAGTTGAGTTTTTAAGAACAATCTGAATGACATGTTAAGATATAAAATATATCTTAACATTTTATAAAATATATTGACTTTTAAATAGATAAAATAGAAGACGATATGTTCGCTGTCGCTACGACATTTCCAATATGACCCAAGGGTTAAAGATTTAATATTATCTCCAATATTCTATACGCTTTGAAATGAATAAAACATCTTTTGTGTGAAGTCGTATCCAACTTCCCCTATTAAAGAAAAGTCAGTGATAACAGTGTTTTAATTCAATGCAGATACCTATTCAATATGAAGAGGTATTTTTCAAGAATAGGAATGTTTGACTTGTCATATGAAAATCTTATATATTATTATTAAGAATTGATTGATATAATTACATTTCTATAGTTTCATTACGACTCGTGCTCTATATAGTTTCGTATGATCATTAAACAAATGGTTTCATTGGAAAATTTAATTTAATGTATGCAAAGTGATATGGTTTCCCGTTGCAATATAATTAAATTAATTAATACTTTATTTTTTTAGTATAAATAGGTAGAACTTTTATCTATTTAGATAGATAATTAGACAGTTATAATAAGTACTTAGACTAATACTTATTATAAGTACTAGGGTCTAAATACTAAAATAGTTATTAAGTATATTTGATAGCTATATAAACATAATATAATTAAGTATATACTTATATATCTAATTACATATACCTATACCGTACCTTACCTTGTATACCTATATTTAATACCCAATTTTATAGGTATTAAGTATAGGTATAAGTTTACATAGACACTTATAAGTGTCTAAATGTACTTTTGGAATATAAAATTTTTTTAAAAGTATTTTAACATACAAAAGTACATATTAATATAATATTTGCTTTAATTAATCTGTAAACAAATCCATTTTAAGCAACTAATTAAACTAATAAAATTCCTGAAAAAATATAGTAATTACAAAAATTTAACAATTATTTTTAAGTAAAATACGCAGATTTTTTTTTATTTTTAAGCATTATTTTTAAATCAACTATTACTTATTTTTTACATCTAAAACAATTATAAGTGTATAGTTTATTTTGTATTTTGCTTCCTTTACTGTCGCTCTATTTAACAACTATTTGGTACATCAATAAAGTTTTCAATTTTTCATATTATTCGTCATCTCTTCGTAACAACGTTGGTTGTAATGTGGACAAACATGTCACGAATCCTCTTTCACGCCTTTTAGTCTGGGTCAGCCAAGAAATCAGGCAAAGAGCCAGATGACGTTTACGTTACAATGCCATTATAATAAACCTACAAGTTCATTTATAGAAACGATTTAAACTTGTAGAGATTTCTAGAAATTACTAAAGTTAATTTTAGACACTCAATAACAATTTGCAAATATTCATACTTAGAAACTGAAGCTCTGCTACTAATGATACATAACAAAAATTTATAACAATTGAGTTTTATAAGCTTAAATTTATGTAAGTTAATTAATTACAATTAAGAAGTTTATTTTATTAATTAATACTCTAAACATCTCACTCCAAAAATTACTTGTTTTGTCCAATGTTTCCTANGAAGCTCTGCTACTAATGATACATAACAAAAATTTATAACAATTGAGTTTTATAAGCTTAAATTTATGTAAGTTAATTAATTACAATTAAGAAGTTTATTTTATTAATTAATACTCTAAACATCTCTAGTTTAAAATACAATTTTCAGCTTTTAAATGTAAATTATAATAAGAAATTTCTATGTAAATATGCTCAAAATTTTAACAAATTTTATTTAATTCTTAATTGTTTTTATATATGATATTTAAAACTTAAATTTAATTACAAATTTAAGTCTATCAACTCAATTATACAAATCATTAATGCTATTTAATTATTACAAAATCACTAAATAATTAATTTTATATAAAGGTATTTCTAGATATTTTAAATGAATTCTGTTTTAAATATTACATAATTAGGAAAATGAGTTATTAAAAAATCAAATATTTTATTACAATTCGATGTTTATTTTAAATCATTTTCTTTCTTAGTTTACTTTCAAATTTGTTTAGCAATATCCAATTTTTTATGTTGCTTTCATAAAGCCATTTTCCAAAAACATTATCACTAATTGAAAAAAGTATTAAAATATTGGCTAATGTATTGTAATATTAAAAAAGAAACAATTAAAAGAATATTTTCCATTTTTTTAAATAGTAAATGCACTAAATCCTAAAGACTAAAGGCATTTTGTTCTTCATCTTCTAAAGAAGAAAAAGGATAAAAGATATTTAAGATTTGTCACATTTTCTCTTTATAAAAATGCTCCTCACGACTCCTTTTGCTTTAACTAATACATCTTTATTCTAACATAAATCATTAGTATTCTATGTGATATCCTTCTGTAGATTTCACAGTAAAGATAGTGAAATGTCAAATTTCTTGGATTCTATTCACTTTTATGTTATGTGCACAGTTTCTTATAATCATTAAAGTCCAAAAAATATGTTCAAATTTGTTAAAATGATCATAATAAGTTAAAATATTATTTAAGTAATTATTTTTCTTATTTTTTTAACACTTTTTTTAGTTTGAAACTAGGATAACCAGGAACATATGCTGCACACAACGGGTAATCCTTTCTTACTCTTCTTTATTGGTATATTCTATAAGTGTTTCCTTGGAACGTTTCTTCTATCCCAAGTAGCTTATGTTTTATCACCTTCAGTTCTCAGGTAAGTAACTTTATATTTTTAATTTTAAATTTAACTTAAAGAAATACAAAAAGTGAGCAATTAAAACGTCAACAAATTAAACAAAATTGGATAGTTTAAGTAAGAAAGAATACAACAACAACAACAAAAAGCCTTTTGAGATGTTTTATTTTACTAAAACGTTTCAATTCAAAGTGATTTATTTTTAAAATATTATTTTTATAAAAAAAAATGAAATGTTTCTAATGAATAAGACTTATTATATTCTGTTAGAGTAAAGTAACCATCCAAAAAAGTACATAATTAACGAAAAATCTTATAATTAGTTACGTCGTTTAGCAAAGTTATTTGTAACTAAACACACAAATAAATTAATTTTAAACATTATTTTACATTTTATAAAATAATAAAATAAATAAATTTATATTAATTCTGTTGTTAAATTGTATAAAAAATTTAATATTTTAAAAATATCATAACATTTTTACTATTATATTAAATACAAAAATGGGTGCAAAAGTAGGCATAGGCCTACAGTTGTTATTATGAAAAAAACATTTGTATGCACAAATTAAATCACAAATATGAAATATGAAATAATAAACGATGATATTAATAATAATAATAATAATGAAACCAAATATGTGTATTTCTCAGATTCACAACTGTATACTAACTTTTGGGCCACCCCTTATATATTTTTATACTGTAAATTTATGTTTAAAAACATGAAAACCATCATTAAAATTAGTTTATTAAATAATTTCGTGCTATATTTCTAATTAAATTTTAATGTAATGAAAAGATTTTTTGTATAAATAATATTTTTAATATATTAAAAACAATTAAAACTCTGAACAATGGCCACTGACAGGAACATAAAAAAACATGGCCGATATTTGGAGGTTATTTTGTATGCATTTTTGTTCAAATAAATAAATCAATTGCTGAAAAAATGGCCGCTGTTTACGGGTGTCCGTCATTAAAAGTTCGAATGTATTTTAAATATCTATAAATTTATAACGGAATAAATAATTTTATGAGGTTTTAAGCAAACAAAAATTCTTAAAATAGAATTAATTTTTATTATTTATAATTAATATATCTGTAAAATTTAATGATAAAATTTTCATATATATATTCTACTAAATAATACAGATTTAAAATTTTTAAAAAGTTTTAAAAATTTAAACAACGATATTACATTAGAGCGTCGTTTATACGAAGGTCGGTTATCCGAAGGAATTCCAGTCGACAAATTTAAATTTTTCGCCAGCGCTGTGGCGCTGTAATCTTTGGCTGTCTCCGCTACTCAAATATTTTACGTTTTTGATACTAAATTAACTTCTGAAGTATAATTTTTTATTGTTTTTATATTTTTCAATATATTTATTTTGTTTGTACAAAATAAAAAAATAATTTTTAACGATACAATAGTCTTCGTTAGGCTTAACATCGACGAAAATTCAACGCGAAGCGACACGCAACGGAGAAAAATTTCAACACGGGATA